GAGTTTCTGGCTATGTTGCACAGGTTGGCCTCCAACTGCTGGGCTCAAGCAATCCTGCATCCTCCTGAGTAGCTGGGACAACAGGAGCAGCCAGTCTAGGATTGCTGAATTAATGACACAGTTCCAAAGTGCATAGCGATGAGGGCCACACAACTCTCAGAATAGAATGAAAACCACTGACTTATACACTCTGAATGGGTGAGGGTATGGCATGCAAATTATATTTCATTAAAACTGTTACAAAAAATTACTGCTCAAAGATAAGACTGTCACCAAACACCATTAATACAAACTTCTCTCGCAAAAAAAAAAAAAGAAAAAAAAAAAGCCCCCCCCCCCAGAGTGTGGAGAGACAAAATAATCCTGCCTTGAACAAACAGGGTGAAAAACTCTGCTAGGAAAGAATGCTGTAAGACATGGGGTAAAAGCACCCATTCAGAATCGGCTTTCCCTGAACTTCACTGCAGACAGCTCAGAAAAAAGCCAAAAAGGAGCAAAAAAGCATCTGTTGAAGCCACAGTAGATGTCACAAGGCCCACTCTTACTCAGAGGAAGCCTCTTATAACAGAGCACATACTTTTGGGTTCATGCCTAAGCAGAGAGCAGTGGCTTTGCTTGGCACAGACACCAGTGAAAGACAAGCTGATGGGCATTCGGTCTGCTGCTATCAGTTGCCCAGGTCAAGGAACAGTGCGACTCAGGGCACTAAAGGCACTGGTAAGGAAGCACACATTCAACCACATGCCAGAGCACCTACTGCATGGGGTAGGTCAAATGTCTGAATCACCAAGTCTGTTTACTCTAAATGTAAAATGCTTTAAAAACAGGTCCCATTAAAAGTCAGCTTTCAACAGTCACAGTGGCACATGCCTGTAGTCCTGCTACTCAGGGGGGAGGCTGAAGCAGAATTTCAAATTCAAGGCCAGCCTGCACAAATTAGAAGACCCTGTCTCAAAAAAATGTTTTTAAGGCTGGGGAGGTAGTAGAGCACTTGCCTAGCATGCTCAAGGCCCCAGGTTAAAAAACTCCAGCACTAAAGGAAAAAAAAAAGGATGTAATCATTAGACAGGATAAACTTACAATTACTGGAGACCTGATATGAGCAACAGCTCTGTATCCCCCAGCTCTTTACTCCTGCATACCTCAAAGTCCCTAAAACCTAAGGCTGCTTCCTTGTTTCTTCAATTTCTTCTGACATACTTTCCCTACTCAGAGAGAGGAGGAGCACTGACTCAAGGCCCTGGAGTGGGTGACTGACTGTAGTTCAGAAATGGACTAGTCAGCCCTCCCTCTCCACAGCCTAGCCTAGCCTGGCAAGGCCAGCTGGACAGAACTGCTATCTGCATCAGCTGTTAGGGTCTCCTGGGTCACACTCCTGACAGAACGCCCAGCCAAGTCAAAACTGAGCATATCCTGCAGGCACCTCAGGTGCATGGCCAAAAACAGAAATTCCGCCTCCAGTGGCCCCAACAGGGCCCCTCCCACCCAAACCCTCCAGCTGGGCGGCTAAGGTTGCTCTGGTGCCAGACCTATCCCATCCACGGAAACACAGAAGCGAAACACACCCAAGCACCTTTCTGGTGCCTTGGCACACACCCAGGAGGGAGGGCCTGTTCAAGATTCCCAGCTCCCCTGCGCCGCAGCATTTCAACTGACCCCATTTACAAACCTCTCTCAGGTGCTCATGGCCGATCCCGAACTCCCGCGCAAGCCCGACCTCCACACACAGCGCCCTCCGACCTTCACCCCTTCCCAGGCTCCCACCTCTTCCCCAGCACTTCTGACCTCCGCCTCTCCACTCCGGCCCCATCCACCTATGCCACCCTCTGGGATCCCGAACACCTCTGGTGCAGGGTCTCTCTCCGGGGTTCAGGACCCCCTGACCCGCGAGCCCCTCCCCCTCAGACCTACACCTCCCTAGTTCCCGGGGGCCCCAGCACCTCGGTCTCCAGGCCCCTCCGCCCCAGAGTCCTGACCCACTCCCCGCGAGCTCCTCCTCCGCCCAGGTGCCCATTCCAGACCCGCTCCACCAGTGCCTGGGATCCCGACCACCTCACTTCCTGGCCCCCTACCGAGAAACCCGAGCCCGCCTACCCGCTGGACGCCTCGGACGCGGATGCATGACAGGATAGCCTCGCCTGCTCTGCCCCGACCAGCTCAAAACCGCAAGCGGAAGCGCGGTGAGACGGCCGCTTCCTTCCTGTTCCGGGCGCTGCTTCCACCGCCCGCTGGGGCTGCCCGTCCCAGCCGCAAGAGCCTCGCCCGCTCAATGCCACGGGATCCCCGTAGGTCCGCCACAGTCCCGACTCACCCGTGCTCTCACAGAGCCCGCTCACTTCCGGTTCGCCAGGGGCGGGGCCGCATCCGGGTCTGCGCATGGTCACGCCCTGGCCCCGCCCCCTGTCCGCACCAGGGCTGGGGCTGTTGGGAAGCCACAGGCGCGGGCCAGCCTGTGGAGGCTGGAGGAAGTTCTTTCGTAGAACGGGTATGTTAAGAGAGCTGCAAAGTAGACAATCAAGCCTGGGGTTTCTGAACTCATAGTCCCGCCCTGGCGAGAAGGGAAAAATGAGCCACACAAGGGGGAGGTAGTGCCCCATCCCTCGAGCACTGAGGACTCGCACTCAGGGACTGTGACCATTCTGCAGGAGGGAACATGCCTCTACACCCTCCAGCCCTCGTTCATCCCTCCACTCATTCTTCCAGCCATCACCCACACACCCATCACTCATTTACTCACTCGTCCATTGTCCAACCACACCCATTTCTCCATTCTTTAGCCATCTCTGCACACACTCATCTGTCAGTTATTCCTGTGTCTACCCAGAGAAGGCAGATGTGTGCCAGGGATAGTAAGATCAACAAGCCACGCGGGACTGGCCCCCAGGAGCCTTCCAAAGGAGGAGGAGGGTCCGACACATTAATGTACATATATATATATATATGGAAATGAGACGAATGTTATAAAGAAATTAATAAGAGTTCTACTGGTGAGCAGATAGGACCTGAACATATCTAGGTAGTCAGGTATTCAGATATGTCGGAGAAATTCACATATGAGGCAAAATCTGCAGTTCTGGAGTGAACAAGATGAGAAGGGAAGAGTTTTCCAGGCAGAGGAAACAGCATGTCCAAAGGTCCTGAGACACAAAAGGTCTTGCCAGGGAAGAAGTCAAAGAAGCTGGGCATGACCAGGATGCAGGGATGCACCAGGTCAATGACAGAGATGGAACAAGGTCATCAAGGAGCTGACGCGGGACAGCAAGGACTTTGGTGTGTATTGTCAAAGAAATAGGAACTTCTTTGGAGAAAGTCAAGCAGAGGAGAGACTTCATAGAGCTTGCACTGTACCAAGATCCCTGTGGCTGTTGTGCATGGAATGTATGACAAGAACATCAGCCAGGGAGGAGCCTAATCAGCCAGTTCCGGCAAACACTGTGGACAGGTGAGACGAGTGAGGCTCTCATGTGACACAGGATGGTTTTCACTGGGGTCCTTGAGGCGTGAGAACAGTTCACATGTGGATTCCTAGAGGAAGATAGGATGCCTCAATTGAACAAACCCCCAAACAGTGTGAGCAGATTTCAGACCCTCCATCTGGGAGCAGCCCAGGCGGGGCTGAGTGGAGGTGACCCAAGGCACCCCTGAGAGCCACCCCTGCAAGCTGTAGAGGTGAGGACTCTCCAGGACTTCCCAGAGGAACTGCTTGCTTCCTTCTGCTACCTCCGCCCACTGTGTGTTCCTGCTCTGTCAGGTGTCACGGGTCTGAAAAACTGTCCTCAAGTAGCACCACAGGTCCTTTGTACTCATGGGTTCTACATCCAAGGAGTGAACCAACTGCAGACTGAGAATATTTCTTTAAAAATCTGCATCTGAATTGGTTTGTTGATGTGTGCTTATACTTCCAGCACTGTGAGGCTGAGGTTTAAGTCCAGCCTAAGCAATTTAGCAACTTACTGAGACCGCCTCAAAATACAAAGGGCCGGGGACAGAGCTTAGTGTGAAGGCCCTGGATTCCACCTCCAGCACCTTGGTGAGGGACGTTGTATCTGTACTGAATACATGCAGATATTTTTTCTTGTATCTCCTAAAGAGCAAACTACTATTCCCATAGCATTGCCACTGTATTAAGTGTAAGTTATCCAGAGAGGACACAAAGCATCTATGCAGGGACACATGCAGGTTCTACAAATATGATGTATATTCTACCAGGGCCCGAGCAGCCATGGCTCTTGGGATCCTTGGGGTAAATTCCCTCATGAAATACGACAGATGACTGGAAGGCAAAATCACTGACTAATCATTGTCACTAGGGAATTAAGGCCAGGAAATGAGACATAAATGCATGTGGGATATTTGAAATGCATTAAGTGATATGTGGGTGTCCAGAATAGCAGCAGCAATAGCACTAGGATATGGACCATCTACTCACCACCCAGGGACACACCAAGGAACGCTGGAGAGTCTGGCCTCTTCTCTCTGCTCTGCAAACCCCATTCAAAAACACACAGTTTGCAGGGAAAAAGGCTGAGAACCAAGAGCTCAAACCCATGATTACTCTGAGATGCGCCATGTGAAACTTGAAAACAGGAGGGTAACACTGTATGAACAAAGGGTCTGACACAGCAGGCAAAGCTGAGCTTGTCAGTGTCCCACCCCCAACTGTGCTGGGGGCACCTCCCCGCCCTGGTCTAACCAGGCCCAATCTTCAGCAGGACCCCATCTTCTCTTGCCTCATGCCCAGCTACACTTATGTCATCCAGCTTTCTGTCCGGTGATTTCCATAGCGACACTACCTTCAGAGAACCTGCCTGGAGCAGGAAGCAAAACAGCTGTGCCTGAGACAGGGATTTAGCTCAGTGTCATGAGTGCCTGCCTGGCAAGCATGAGGTTATGAGTTCGATGTCTGGTAACACACACACACACACACACACACACTCCAGCCGCACTTAACTTTTAACAAAATCTTGGCCTATTCAAAGAACTCTTCATTGGCAGTGAAAAATGATTCAGAACTTTATTGAAAGAAAGCAATAAATAATACTGTGATTAAAATAGTTCAAAAGTATATATATGTATATGACTGTATACTTTGTTACATACTCAGAAAATTCCACAAAAATTAATAGAAAAAGGGCAGTAATATGGATTGTACAAGTGAATTGTATGCATAAACCAAATTATTTTTTTTCTTTTTTTCTTTTTTCTTTTTTTTTTTTTTTTTTTTGTCTTTTTCGTTTTTATCAGTACCAGGGATCGAACTCACGACGGCCTGCTTGAAAGGCAGGCGCTTATGCCGCTGAGCTAAATCCCCAGCCCCTGCATAAACTAAATTAAAAAGGCATGCTGCCTCTACCCATGTATCAGTTGCACAATAAATAACATGCACCCTGATCTGACTCCTTCCTTGCTGGCTTTTTAATATGCCAGTGAAAAGCAAGTTGCTTTTGCTACTTGTTCAATCCAAAATGGCTATGTCATCAAAATCTAAAAATGTATGACTAGTTGAAACATGTTTATAAACCAATGTAAAAAGGTGACTGACATATGAAAAATAAGGCCTTGATTAGTTAGAGTTGTACAACTTTATTTTCAGGGTTTCCTGCTCTCATCTGCTCATGCACCAATGTCTGTGAGATGTGAGCACAGTGCTCAGTGATTGGTCCTCTAAGAATAGCTGGAGGCACCTTCCACATGCTCACAGGAAAGAGGCAGGGAAGGTGCCAGGCTGGGGTCCACCCCTGGCCACTCCAGCCCTGCTGAGAGCAGCTCCAAGCTCATGGCTTCTGGTCAAGTCTCTGAAAACAAGCTCCCCAAGTCCAGAGACAGGATGGGGAAAAGGGAACCAGTGCTAAGAATGTTCTATAGTGCTCTGGTGCAACGGTTCAGTCCCGACTTTATTAGACTCTGATTTCTTGCTAAAAAAAGAACAGTTAAGGTCAGTCAACCTCAAAATATGACAACTGCTTGGAATGAAGTCTCCTGATTTTAAAATGACTGATGTAGAGCAAGGTGAAAGATAATGCACATTGCTTATGTCACAACAATTTTATAAATGTAGTAAACTGGGCTGGGGATTTAGCTCAGTGGCATAAGCACCTGCCTTGCAAGCAGGCAGTCCTGAGTTTGATCCCTAGTACCGATAAAAACAAAAAAGACAAAAAAAAGTGTAGTAAACTAATTTTTTCAGGGATGGCTTATCATTAAAAAGTTAAATAGTAATAATTACAATATGTGCACAATTTACAAAAGCCGTGTATTTGTTCATAGGGTTTATACATACAAGCATTACAGTACATCCATTTGAAAGACTAAAATTAGATATAAGAACATGAATTGCTTCCAGAGATATTTATAGCCTAAACATAGATGAAAAAGTAAGTAACTATATAAATGAAAAGTCCTAAGTTTACAAAAATAGAAGAAACATTAAATTCTAAAATATTTTCTCTATGTTATTGATGAATTTTTCACTAATTAAAAACTCTGTTATAAAATATCTTAGGAGTCCATATAACAAGTATTAACAGATAGCGATTCGACTGAATTAAAAAACGTAGTCTCTGTTGGATTCAAAATGCTGCATATCATCTGTAGAAGTAGTGCAGGAAAACTGGAAGATAAAAACAAACAGAAAGCCTCTCTTAACACAAACCACCTGGAAAAGGACCATGACTTCAGACACACACGCTGGGGCCCACTTCCCCAGGCCTCCTGCCTCCTCCCTGCTGGAGCGTCAGCAGACAGAACACTGAGGACCCTGCTCATGGACTAGAGAGGTTTTACATTTTGTGACAGTTTTAAAAGTTAAAGTTAAAAGACTATGGAGCCCATCCCAGATTCCAGCTGAGGCACTGAACACAAGCACAGTAGGCAGAGCTCCAGCTGGGGTTCTGATCACGGGTCAATGACACCTCTGCCATCAGTCAGTCAGAGCTCTAGACCATGAGGACACAAGTGGCTCACTGGCGCCCAGGCATGGCAATGCAGCTTTGTGTTTAAAATGTCTGCCATGTATGGTGGCACGTCTGCAATCCCGTATGTCAGAAGGCTGAGGCAGAAAGATTGCAAGTTTGAACAAGGACTAGATGATCTAGGAAGACCCTGTCCCCACTAAAAAGGGGATGGGGTGCTAGGGATATAGCACAGTGGGAACACTCTGGGTTCAATTCCCCATATATGTGTGCGTACATGTGTGTTTGTAACAAAGCCAGTATAGGAGCTGTGTACCACTGTGTATAAACACAGTGGAAGAGATGCTTCCCAATCTCAGGCTCTGGCCTCCTGGTGTGGTCAGCTTTTGGGGTGCTTTTTTCCTCAGTTGCTGCTTTCCTGCCCACCCCCCAACAATGGCATCAGCAGATCATCACTTCAAGTGAGTAGGCATTTTTAGCTTTTAGGAAAAAATGGGAACGAACGTGTTTTTCTTTAAAACTGGAGACACAAGGGAGACAGGAGAGGGGAGGTAAAAAGATTTAAGATGTCCTAGTACAGGTACCAACTCTCCATGATGAATTTAAGTACAACTAACTTACTAATAAAAATAAAAGTTAACAGAACAAAAATGACACACAGCCCTCTTTATGGTCAGCTAAAAACCAAAATCGCCTTGATGGGTACAGAGCTACTATTTCTGTCATTTTGAAGTTCCCCATGTAAATTGGCATGGTCTAAACCCACACTGTTAGCCCTGTTACAGCTTCACCCTGCTGTACAGGGATGATCTCCAGGGATTACGCTGCTCTCTACTCACCAACAGGAGGCTTAACAGGAGGAAGTCCTGGTTGTCGCAGAATCCAACTTCTGTGTTTCTGATACACTGCCTGTTCCAACAACCATGAGAGGAAGTGTGCAAAAACAAAGTGCTGTTAGTTTTAACACTTCACACGGGGCACAGGTAAGACACACATCTCCACACCTACAATGGTGTCTACTGAGGAATCCTAAGACTGCCTGGGAGAGTGAGGCAAGAGCATCAGAGGGCTGCCCAGAGTGGTTCTGTCACCACCCAAGGGGACACTGGCACCTAAAATAGCAATAGGGCCCCTTGGAAGTGCAAACCACCTCAGTGTGCACATACAGAGAGGACAACCACCTAACATAGCTACTCTGCAGCTCCTTAAGCCACACTTTGATATAGCAACTGGACTTTTCCTTGTGCCCTACAGCTAGACCTCCAGGAATGAATGGGGTGAATCAGCAGCACGAAGGGGAGGAGGGAACCCCAGCTGCTCTGCAGGCACTGCTCTCAGGGTGGGTTGCAGGCAAAGAGGCACAGCCCAGAGGCCATGGCCAGTGCTTCTCAGAAGACTAAAGCTTGTCTCAGTTTCTACAAAAAAGGATGGAGAACACGGAGGCAGGGGTCCTTGTTTGACAAACACTGGGTGGCTAAACAGGCAGTACAGCCCTGTCACAAACTGGGTAAAGAGCTTGCAACATCTTCTGCAGATATTTACACTCCCAGTTGTACAGTGTTTTGTTTTCCTGCAAGTATACCAGGAATACTTCTTAGCAACATCTTGCCATAGCTCTAGAAAAGACAGATAGCTGGCCGCGTTGGTAAGACTGGGCAGTCATTGTAAACCTTCATTCTAAAGTCTAGGAGACATGCTGTAATTTATCTTATACTCTCCACCTCGCAAGTCATTTGTAACAGTCCACCTTCTTACCAATGTGGCATAGACATCTTCTATGTAATTTACCCTGACAACTTTTTCTATTCAATCCATTTAAATTTAGTGTTACACAGTTTGCCTGCACATGCCTGTAATCCTAGCACTCTGGGAGGTTGAGGCAGGAAAACTCCAAGTTCAAACCAGGCCTGGACAATTTAACAAGACCCTTTCTGGATAATAAAAGAAGGGGTGGTGTGTAGTACAGGTAGAAGGCTCCCTCCCCAGTACCACCCCAAACCCCAAAACAACAACCACAACCACAAAAATGCCACCAAAAAAACAAATCAACAACAAACAAACTCATTAATACTACCCTTTATTTTTGTTTTGTTTTGTTGAAACAAGGTCTCCCTGTGTAGTTCACACTGGCCCTACAATCCCTGTGAATTCAAGGCTGGTACTGAGCTCTCAGCAACCTTCCTGCCTTAGCTTCCCCAGTGCCGGGATTACAGGTGATCTCCACACCCAGCTATGTTAATATTGCTTGCAATGTTCAGAGAGAAAATGTGATTCTTATAGTGAAACAGAAATTGAAGGTACAGGGAAAACAACAGAGTACTCATTTAGACTATTTAGTAAGCCAATGGAAATTAAGCTCAAGGCCCGTCACAGCTTACTTACTTATCTATTTTATTTATGATACAAGGTCTTCCTATGAAGCTCAGTATAGCCTTAACCTGGATTTATGGTTCACATACATCTCAGATTCATGATTTTCCTGCCTGAGCCTCCCAAGTACTGGAATTACAGGCATGCACTTCCATGCCTTGCCAACATTTGTAAGACACCTTGAGGGAGAAAGTGTTAATTCTTAAGAACTTACTAGTTAAAAGACACACTGGAAAGTGTTCAGCTTTAAAAAGTTTATATAAATGTATTTTTCTCTGATTTTCATACAGGCAAGAAAGAGAAAAAAGGAAAACTACCTACACAGGGGGCTAACAACAGGAAACTTGTAAAAACCCCACTGGTACAGTTTATACAGCACAACCATGTACATCAGGGATGAGAAGGAATGAAGTCTCCACCTAACACTGAGATTGTCAGCAATGCACGAGGCTCAGGACTCCATCAGCTTCACCCACATGACACATTGAAGCATCAAAATCACATTACTATGATGCCCAAGTTACAGATATGGAAACTGAGGCACAGCACAGCTGCATGACTTGCTCAAGGTCATGTCCCTGCTACCACAAGAGCTGGATGTGGATGTGGGCTCTCTCAGGACCCTATCAGTGCCTTTTACTAGGTGGGCAGGACTGTCAGGGACTCAAGGTCTCCTCTCAGCCAACTGCACTCTTCAGTCAGCAGTTACATAAGGGCCATCCCGACTGCACTGGAAAGGTCAATGCCTTGCCATCTCTCACTGAGAAGGCAGCAGGGCTGCCCTAGCGGTCTCCACAAGGCTTCTGCCTTCTTCCCTGTCCCTCTTCAGGTGGCACAAGGTAAGTATATGGAAAGAGAACACTGGAGGGAAGGGAAAAGGAAAGACAGAGTTGGCAGAACCTGGAAGTTGTGAGCTAAAGTTTACTCTGCCATTTCTTCTAGTGTGGAGAGAAGTCCCAAGTGTCACACTGCAATTTTCCTGGCAAGCCAGTGCTGCCTGCCACACACTGCACCCCACAGGTGCATCAGCCTCAGCCCTGAGAGCACAGATGGGTGCTCCACTTTATTAGTTGGGCAAGGATGCTAAGGTTCAACCAGACAGATTTTTTAAAAATTCTATTATTGTTGTTAACCATTTTCCAACAAATGTTAGGGCTAATCCTGAACCATTGACACCTGGGCATGCAACCAAACTCAGATGCTTTGTAACACATACAATGGCCACTCTAGGTAATTATTAGCGCACACATGCTCCCAGCCAGTGTTGCATTACATGGCCCACCACATACCATCCATCTGGATCTCATTGGGCTGCATAGAGCAGAAAGACTTGGAAGAAGAGACTCGGAAGTTTGCAGGGAGTGTCTCTGATGACCCAGTTGCCACGCCATGAATGGCCTTTTCTCTAACCTTCTCTCTCCATGAAGGTGCTCTCCTAAAGTGTTTGTCATCCTCCTGGCAAATGAAAACACAGAACAGGCACACTCTAATAAAGATAACTGTCCTTCAGAAGGACTCCTAAGCCCCTGACTGTTTTGCTTTACTTAGCCTTTCCTGGTGACTTTCCAATGTGCTGTGTCGGGGTTGCTCCCGGCCAGCAGGAAAGACACACGACAAAGTCTGGCGGTGTGCAACCTTGCCTTTATTTGTCTCCGCGTGGGCCCCGCGAGGCCTCCGCTCTGTCACCAGCCCTTTCTCGCCGGTGGACTTTCTCTATCTCTCTCTGTGCTTCCTCTGTGCTTCTCTCTTGTGGCGGGAGAGGCATTTACTTTTATAGGGTAACAGTGGCCAATCAGTTCAAAGCGCGCGATGCGGGCTGATTGGCTAACATCAGTTGTTGCTAGGCAGACTATCTTACAGAGCGGGTTGTTTAAGTCGCCAGCGCAATCAGGGGGCAGGAAGCAGGCGCCAACTTGGCTCACTCGATGGGAGGGGCAATCTAGCTCAGGCTCCGCTCCCACCCACAGGCCCTATGTCCGCCAAGTAAGGCGACCGGTGTCGGCCGCGGCTCCCAACATCTCCCCCTATTTTATTTACTTTGAATGAATGTATGCATCGCAGCCCGCCGTGGATCGAGTGCAGAGGCTTATGCCCTGTGTTGAGGCCCACCGTAGGCCCTTGGCTTGGACCCTGGTCGGCCGCCCCCGGGTCCGCCAAGGCCTTGAGACCCTCGTCCTTTTTCCAGGGCCAGGAGTGAACCTGGATGCACATAGGCATGCACTCATGCCCCTCCGTGTGATCCCCTCGGAGAGGCATCTAGATCTGGGCAGATTCTAGTAATCCAGCGGCTTTCGTGCAGTATGGGGTAGGGCCTGGCTTAGGTCGAGTTGTGCTGGGGAGGCACGCTCTTACCCGTCATTGACTCACCTACCCTGCTGTGTGGTGTCATTAGGGAAGGAATGCGGAAGACCCGCCACACCTAGACCCGGTCGTAGGCCAGTCGAGCGAGCCATGCGTAAGCCTGGGGATCATTGTGCCCATCACGGGCTGCTGCCAGGGCCGCATGGGCAACCAGGCGTACTTGACGCCGGGCCGCCGCAAGGCGCCCATTAATAAATGATGTAACCCATCGGAGCAAGCATGGTCCTATAAGCAGGAGCAAGAACAAGGAGCATAGAGGGCCTAACAAGGGTAGCACATAGGGGAGCAAGCCGTTCCAGGCCCCCAAAAAGGGATTGTCCTGCAGTTCTTTTAGGGCTCATCTTGTTGTTGGGTCTGCGGTTGGCCTCTGGTGGAACAGGCCTGATCTTCAGTCGAGGGACTTGTCGCGTCAACCTCTCTGGGACCCACAGTGGTTTTCGTCCCGGTTCCTGCGGAAAAACACAAACCGCGCCTCGGTTCCAGCTAACCACCGGATCCGGGCCCATCCATTGTCATGCCATAGATAACCGTGCCTTTGGAGGCAGGCCTTGGCTTACTCCCCCTTTTTGTTTTTTATTTTTTATTTTTTATTTTTTTTATTTTTGGTCTTTTTCGTTTTTTTTTTTTTTTTTTTTTTTTTTTTTTTTTTTTTTTTTTTATCGGTACCAGGGATCGAACTCGCGATTGCCTGCTTACAAGGCAGGCGCTTATGCCGCTGAGCTAAATCCCCAGCCCCCGTTTCCTCGACCGGCGTTTTTCTCAGCCTGCTCGGCAGAGTAGCCGCCCATGAAAATACCGTCCGCCCCGCGGCGCAACGTCATAGGACGGCGGTCCTGACAGAGTGGAACGGGGCGTCACTTCCTGTGCCGGCTGAGAGAAGGGAGGGTTCCCTGTAGCGGCCTCTCGGCGGGGAGCCGCTTCTGGAGAAGAGCTCCAGGGCGGAGCGGATGGCTCTCTATCTCCTCCCCGCCAGAGGGCGCTCGGGGGTCCTTTTTCCTCTCTCTGCTTTTTTCGAGTGGCGCACGCACACAATTCGCGGCACAACTCGGCATAGGAGTCAAGGCACGCATGTATCATTTCCCACAGGGGGCGAATAGCCGGCGAAATATCGCCTCCCAATTCCGCCGAGGCGAGGTCCCCGCCTAACTTCTCCCATGACGGCAGGTTTGAATGCCCTGTGGGTAAAAACCAGGGAGCCACCCTATCTACCTCTGCTATGAATAGTTCTAGTGTTTTTTGACCTACCCTGAGGTCTCTAGCTTTTAAAAGCTTTCTAAGGGCCTTTACCAAGGGCCGCGCCTCCGCGCTCGGTAAATTACCCATCTTTAACCTCTAAAGGCTGTAACTCACCGCGTGTGACTTAAAGAACCCGTCACCTACGCGTGAGCCTGAGGGGAGTCTAAAAGCCCTGTAGGTGCGCGCCACCCAGAGCCCAGGCTTATCCCCAACTCACCTGTCCGGCAGCACCACGCTGGAGCGTTGCACACCACCGCCGTGTCTCGGGGTTGATCAGTCCCCGTACGGGCCACCAAATGTCGGGGTCGCTCCCGGCCAGCAGGAAAGACACACGACAAAGTCTGGCGGTGTGCAACCTTGCCTTTATTTGTCTCCGCGTGGGCCCCGCGAGGCCTCCGCTCTGTCACCAGCCCTTTCTCGCCGGTGGACTTTCTCTATCTCTCTCTGTGCTTCCTCTGTGCTTCTCTCTTGTGGCGGGAGAGGCATTTACTTTTATAGGGTAACAGTGGCCAATCAGTTCAAAGCGCGCGATGCGGGCTGATTGGCTAACATCAGTTGTTGCTAGGCAGACTATCTTACAGAGCGGGTTGTTTAAGTCGCCAGCGCAATCAGGGGGCAGGAAGCAGGCGCCAACTTGGCTCACTCGATGGGAGGGGCAATCTAGCTCAGGCTCCGCTCCCACCCACAGGCCCTATGTCCGCCAAGTAAGGCGACCGGTGTCGGCCGCGGCTCCCAACAGTGCTGCACACACTGGAACTTCAGTGTGAGAGGAAACATGATTACATTCCTGCTGGGCCCCAACTGGAGAAACGAGGGCAGTCCTGGGCACCAGGGATGTGATTTTCTCACCCATCAGAATATTTTATTTCTTACTGTGGACAAGCTCTTGCCTGCTATATAATGTACTTTTATTTATTTTCAAAATATTCTGGCTACAAATAATCCAACAAATGCTTTGCTTCCAGATTCAGCTTCCATCTTCTTTGTGAAAATCAAGTACTCTTGGAGCTCACTGAAGACAATCATAATGTATGGCAACAGGTTAGTTATGATTTAGCATGAGGGGAAATTTAATATACTTTTGAAAGAAACCTTCCAAACAGAAGAACTGGGGCAGGACAGTCAGCTGTCACCAAAACACAACTTAAGACTTTGATCGCAGGCTGCAATCTGTTTGACAATATAGAAATAATTTTTGAAGGTTGCCAAAAATTAAGTAGTGGACCAAGAGCAAGGATCAGTAGTAGAGCACTCAACTGGCATATGTGAAGCCCTGAGGTTGATTCCTAGCAGTGAGAGGAGAAAAAAGCTGAAAACTTACGACATCAAAACGTCTGACAGTCCCAAGGACCAAAAGGTCGGCAAATTCTTTGTCCAAGACATTTCGAGCCTGAAGTAACAAAACAACAACTAAATATATCTGAAGGATGTTACACATTACAATTTTTTAAAACAAAGACTTCAAAGACTCACATGCTTGCAACACAAGCTGGAAAGAAAAGATAGTGAAAAATCAAGCATTTGCTTATTTTGAACTACCATATTATAGATTAGTTATGGAAAGTGATTACTAGTTGTCTAGAGTTAAATTTTCTCTCCATTCAAATGAAAAATAAGTATTCTAGAACCACAGAAAAACCGAACACTGTGGCTAAGCAGACAGAGGCACAGACTCCGTTGTCACCTTTCTGTTCTCTGTCGGGATCTGTAACAACAGGGCCAATGTGTTGTAATCGAAGGCTTCATCTAAGGCCAGCTGTGCGCCATGAACCCCACTCTCTATGAGGTTGTTTGCATATTCTTTAAGGCCAATGGATATGACCCAGCGAATCACTCGATCATTGCTCCAAACAAGCACATCTGTGAAAGAACAAAACAACTGTAAATGTGGCTTCAGAAAACCTCTTCATCATACATGTCCTGCAATGCAGGGGAAAGATTCCTAGCATGGATCTTGATCCCTCAGCTCCTGAAAATGGACTCCACACTCACAAATACTGACAGACACACACCTAGACACAGCTGTTTTGGTTCTGCCTCATTCTAATAAAAACTTTCCCTTTAGAAGCCTCCCCTAGTGCACTCAGGTGTCACAGTAAGATTGTGGATAGGATATATTCAGGGAACAATACAACATGATTGGCTGAGGATGTAGCTTGGTGGCAGATCACTTGCCTAGTATGTACAAGGCCTGGGGTTCAATCCTAAGACTGCAAAAACATCAGGCTGAGGGTCAGAGTCAGACCTAGCACGTATAAGCATGTTTCCTACACAGACCCCAGAGTCTCCTGAAATGCTTCTCCATCATGAAAGGGGCAGATACCATGACAGTTCAGATACCTTGCTGAGTTCAACACAAACTCTTTGCTTCTGACCTTCTGACCTTCGTTTTCTTTTACTTTTTCTTGTTGTTGTACTGGGAATCAAACTCAGAGCCTTGTGCTTACCAGGTAGGTGCTAAGCCACTGAGCCATACCCCAGCCCCTGTGCTTCTGAAGCTTTGGTCATATCAACATCTTAATATATTACAAAGAAAGAATTTTAAAGACATTCCAGCATACTAGATTTTGGCAATCGTATATCATACAAAGATAATTATTAAATGTATTCTATTACAGACCAAAAAATTGCCACTCTGTAAAAATATATCTGACCACCAATCTTTTCAAAGACTGCTTTTGCCAACTGACAAAATATGGAGAGGGGATATAGAAAACAAATTAAATGGATTAATACATTTCATGTCTGATTTTTTTTCTCAACTTTGTTTTGGTACCAGGGATCAAACTCATGACCTTGCACTTGCCAGGCAGCCGCTCTGTTGTTGAGCTATATCCCCGGCCATGACTTTCTTTTCTAAATAGACCTCAACGTATTCTTTGTTTTAAAAGAATTAAAACCCAGGCCTTGCACAGACTAGGCAAGTGTCCTACCACAGGGCTACATCCCTGGCCAATAGATAATCCTTTATTTTATTTAGAAAAAGACATCAGAATGAGGATGAAAATAACAGAACCACGATGCAGCCTGAATGAATCAACTATGGAAGACTTGACACAGTGCTTGATCATTATTCAGTAAGTCTCATTTCTTCTCATCACTGCAGTGCTATTAGTAACTACCGAGAATTCTGAGAGACTCTCGTGAGCATGACATTCAGTGTTGTCTTCAGAGAAAATGCCTGTCCCTGTCATACTGAGGGGGCTGCCATGCCCTCTCCTACCTCCTGGCCTGTTTCTGACATGTCTTTCCTTTGCCCACAGGACACTCTGTGGTTTCTGTAAGGACTGCAATCCCAGTTAGTATGGGTGCTGTGACAGGAGGGTCACAGGTGTAATCCCAGACCAGGGTACTTAGTGAAATTCTGTCTCAAAATAAATAAATAAATTACAAAATTATGGGTGCTAGGCTATTGGTTGCCTTGACCTCTCCCTCCCTCTGGGAGCAGAACTGTGTGCCCTGCATGCTGCCACAGGCCTTAGAAAAAGCTCCCAAAGCTGTAGTTTTAACCTCTATCCAGTAAGCAAAAGGCAGTGGCTTGTTTGCCTTGCTCTGATCTAATAGCATAAGGCAGCATCTCTGAGAGAGCGTATACAGTGTACAACAACAAAAGGAAAACTACATGAAAGAATGCCAGCACCAAGAGGGTAGCCTACAGACTGAGATAAGCACACACTGTCTCAGGGCACCCCTTTTCATCCCTCCTCTTGTTATCATGCCAAGCCAGTTGTTTCCACTTAAAAGTCTTCCCTGATTTATTTTTTTGTGGTACTAGAGACAGAAGCCAGAGCCCTGAGCATGCTAGGCAAGTCTTTTTTCACTGAACTACATTCTTAGCACCCCTAATTTTCAAATCTAGCTTTAGTGTTCTGAGACAGGGTCTCACTAAATTGCCAGGTCGGCCCTGAATTTGTGATCTTCCTGCCTTAGTATTCTTAGTAGCTGGAACTGTAATTTGTGTAATTCCCAGATAAATGTATGATTATTTTGTGCTTTTTTTTTTTTCAGTCCTAGGGATCAAACCCAGGGCAATGCAAGTGGTAAGCAAGTGCCTTATCACTAAGCCCTTGATTTCTTTTTGAGGTACTCAGGAATAAACACAGGGATTTGCACTGAGCTGCATCTCTAGCCCTGTTATACTTTTCATTTTGAGAGAAGGTTTCACGGAGTCCAAGCTGCCTGGGCTAGGCTTGTGACTCTGCTGCTATATCCTCCCAGAGTGCTAGGATTGCAGGTATGTGCCAGCTCAGCTGGCTGCTATACTTTTTCAAACAGGCAATCACCCAGGCTGCCTGGGAGGCAGCAGGCATGTGCTGCATCCATCCGGCATAATGTACTTGCCTTTAACTACATCCTGACTTTCTTCTCTTCTTCTTTCCAGTTCTTTCCGATCATAATTTAACCTTTTTAGGCACATAAGTCCACACTGGAAGCTGTTCCTATTTACAAAATAAGGGGTTATTTAACGGTGGCAATGTGAAGTCTCTTTTTTTTTTTTTTTTTTTTTGTCTTTTTTCTTTTTATCGGTACTGGGGATCGAACTCACAACTGCCTGCTTGCAAGGCAGGTGCTTATGCCACTGAGCTAAATCCCCAGCCCCTATGTGAAGTCTCTTGATCCGTTAGGAAGAACCACTTGCACTGCCTCACCTGTGAAAACTGTCAACCATTTTCAGCCGCCCCCGCAGGTCTTTCTTGGTCAGGTGGTCCAGCATCCGAGCATCCACAAGGCACTCCATGAAATAGCTTCGGTACTGAGGTAGGCCCAGGCTGGGCAGCCACTCATTGCCAATCCACTCGTGGTCCATGTCCCCATATGCAAGTGTCTGATTTCAACAAATGAGTGACATCAGTTCAGATTTTTAATCTAGACAACATTCTTAAAGGCTAAATGAATGACAACATTGCTTTTCATAATTTCTAAATATTTGGTCTCCCATTCCTACCTTTTCAAATTCCTAAAGTTTTATCCAACAGAAATCATATTGGCAAAATTTTATGACTCATTTAGGACAATTTACCAAGCTATAGAAAAATCATACCTGTCTATAAATTCCTTTTCTGAATTAGTTTTCAATATAATAATATAGGAATAAAGAATGATCATGACTCATGAACAAGTTTGAAGAATCAATTCAAATCATTCAAATGAGCTCTAGCTGGTTTTGATTTTATTTTTAATACTTTGTCTTCCTAAATGACAAGTGTATTTGAAAATCAGGAAAAGTAAATTTAAAATGATAAACGAACAACTAATGAGACTAAGAACAAAAACAGAAAAATACAATTAAATTTAGAAGACTTCAACACTCCTCTCTTAACAACTGGTTCAATGTGCCAATCAAAAAACCAAAAAGGACTAAGAAAAGGAAAACAATCAGGAAGGCTACGGACAAAAACAATACTGTCAATCAATCTGACCCAGATATAACTTACACTTTTTCCTTTCTTTTTTTTGGGTGGGGGGGTACTGGGAATTGAACTCAGGACCTCATGCTTGCAAGGCAGGTGCTGCACCACTGAGCTAAATCCCCAGCCCCTCCCCACAACCTTTAAAGACAGAGATTCCCATTATATTACCAGGATTGAGTGCAGTGGCTATGCACAAGCACTCCCTATGCAAAGAGATATTGATGCCACTCTTAGTATGATGTCCATCTTAGTTTAATGCCCAATTGTCATAGGACATTATAACAGCCAACTTCTGGGCTCAGTCTCTTGAGTTTTGGCAACTACAGGGGTGCATCATCACATCTGGCTTCAGGACGTACTTTTTTGTGGTGTGGTATGGTGGTGCATGCCTGTAAACCCAGCACTCAGGAGGCTGAGACAAAAGTATTTCGAGTTTGGGACTAGTCTGCACTACACCAAAAATAAGGAATCATGGTAAGTAGGTTTACTGACTCAGGAATAGGTTGGTTCACCAACTGAGGAGGAAAAAAAAAATCAATGAAATTTGCCCAATTACGAGATCAGCAAAGAAAGCCATGTCTCATAATACCTTATGTGGCACAAGATCCATCATTCAGTTATGAAACTCAGCATTCTAGGACGAAAGACCCACCGCCTCAATCTATTAAGGGTCATCTACCAAAAGCCTGCAGCTAAAAACCTCACAATGAGGGACCAAATGTCTCCCTGAACGGAAAGAAGCACAAGGGGTGTCCACTGTCACCGTTTATGTTTGGCTGTGCTGGAGACCTGGCCACTGTAATGGCAGGAAAAACATAAAAATGGCATGAGTTGAGAAAGACATAAACCTCTCTTTATTAGTAAATGACACGATTATCATTGTTGAAAAAGTCTATGAAATAGCTATTAGGATTTATACATGAATTTAGCAAAGCTGCTGAATATACAATGAATACACAAAAATTAACATTTCTAAATATACAAAATGAACTGGAAATTGAGATTTTAGAAGTATCTTATATAATGGCACTAAACTGCATAAAATCCTTAGCAACCAATTCAACAGAATATGTCCAAGGTCTGTACAATGAAAAATAGACATGATATACAACCACTTCACAGAGAATGGTTCGTTATGCTCTCCAGCTAAGGAAGATTAAATTACATTCACAGGAATCCTAAGGTACATTGAGGAATCCTTTAAAATAAAAACTATCCATTCCTATCCATCCTCTCCTGGCTTGAACTCAGGGTTTCATACCTGCTAGGCAAGCACTCTAACCTGAGCTACATCCCCAACCCCTTACAACAGGGTCTCACTAGGCCCAGGCTGGTCTCTAAGTTGATATCTTCCAGCCTCAGCCTCCTGAGTTATGGGATTACAGTCATAAACCACCATGCATGGCCTCCATGTTTGGTTTAGAACAATGGATTCCACTCTAGTATTTTATTTGTTCCAGTCAAGATACAAGGGATGGCTCAGCTAAGAGGAATGTTCCAATTCTAACAGAAAAGATTTCATAACTTTCTTTAAATGATGAGTGACAAATATACCACTATGGTAACCATTAAGATACCTAACAATGTTACCATGATGCAGTCCTTTGAGTCATACTTTCATGGGCCTAGGATTCACAGCCTGAATATTTGATGTTTTCTGGCCTGCTGACTATGCTCTCTTCTAATGAGTAGAAGAAATCTTCCAAATAAAAAGCTGTGCGGAAGCAAACCCTCCATATCTCTGTTTACTACTTTTGCAGTTGCTGATAATGCAGATTCTGACAGCTCAGACTCAGTTTGAGGGAGAGCCTCCTCCTCTCCCTGGCTGCCACCACAGCCTTCTGAAGAAGTGTGCAAAGGGACCTCATGCTCCAAGCATGGACAAGTCACGCTCAGTCTCAAGGTCAGTAAAATGCGAGCTCCATGAGAGTGGGACTGCAGCTGTCCTGCTCATTAATGGCTCCTGGCAGCTGGCACAGCCTTCTTACACAGCCAGTCATATCTTACATCTGATATGCGAACAGTTCTGACCACACTTGAGTGTTCCTTCCAAAGCTCAGTCAGGAGTGAGGCCACCCAGTGCCAGCACGGGCAAAGCACAATGCTTTGTGCTAGCATAGCTCTGTCCTAGCAGCTCTGTCTGGGAAAGGATGGTGGCAAAGTGCACCAAGCTTCTGCAGAACATTGCATGTGGGGTAAATCTGGAATCTTCTGCATGGGCCCCTTTTATATGGTCACTGCAAAAAGCAAATGTTAAGCTTATTCAACTACACTTTATGTCTCTGATGCTATTTCATATTGAAGTGGTGACCATATTCTACTTTGTCTTTTGGAATATATTGAAACTTACGTAATTATGAAATGCACTGCTTAATTCACTGATGGTCATTGTTGGTCCTGTAGAGAGACCTCTAACTAGGTGAATTTAAGTGATTCTAGAGGCAGGGAGTATCTAAACCCAGGGAGGGAAACCCAGTTAGTAGCTATTCTCTTTCTTCTTAGTTTTTGTTTCTAAACTTTTTGTAATTTTGAGACAGGATTTTACTATGTAGTTTAGGCTGACCTTGAACTCACTATGTAGCCTATGCTGGTCTCAAATTTGCAACAAACATGCTTGATCAACCTCCCAAGTCCTGGGATGACCCATATGTGTCACCAAGTTCCACCTCTCTTTTTTTCAAATGAACAAACAAAACAAACAACCAAGTGCTATAACTGAATAACCTTTAGAAATGCAAACAGAAGCAACTGTTTCAAGCATCATCTTGGAATCAGCAAATTCTAATCTTAACTCATTTATACTTGCTTTCAGACATATGCTAACTCTTCTGAGCCCCCGAATACCGTGCCCCTGGGAAAAGCTGAAGAACTACAAGTCCCCTGGTACTGCACTGTGCCCACCAAAGACCCAAGAGGGCAGAGGGATGCTGGGAATTTAACCAAGTCATCTGACTCAGACACTGTAAAACATGGGGCAGAGCTTTCTGTGTAGTGAAGAGTTAGGCAGCTGAAATTCAATCTCTGTGAAGTGATAAGCCTTAATTTCTGAGAACTCCATTACTAAGATCTTTAACTCAACACAGTAGGGCAGTACTTAGTCAAATAACAATATAAAGACATAGAGGGAAAGGCCCCGTGCCAACTTTCAGGTTTAGAAGTGTATTTCATGATTTTTTTCAGCAGTACATTTTAGAACAAAACTAACCCAGCAACGAACTACATGTACATAAACTCAGGAGTTGCCTAAACCAGGGGACTTTGTATAAAAGATTCTATTCATAAATAAAACAACCTTCATTCAAAGTAATTTCCATGATCCCATATGGGAAATGTTCAAAATTATCCATGAGATGTAATCTTTAATCCTGTGATTTATTTGATTACATTCTTCAAGTCATTAATGATACTATGAATAAATTAAGGTGTGAAAAACACCTACTAAAGCAGGTCACACAAGTTTACATCCTCAATTGCTTTTTGTTGCTACAGAGTGAAGAAATATTATAGAAAGACTCCAACCTTATCCAGCTTCCCTCTTCATCTTCCTGATGTTAGGTTGTTAGGAATGTAAAAGAACATAACTATTAGTATTAGTGAACTTTAGTAGTGTAAGCAAATTAATTCTGCAGGGAACATGCACCTTGACTGAGTGAAAAACATTCAAAATATCAATGCCTCATGCAAAAACTCATGAAAATCCAAGAATTTCAATTTTCCATGCAAGGAGCAGACTTTTTCCATGCCAACTAACCTCATACAGTAGACTGTTGGCGTTAGACAACCACAACGCAGTGCTCAATGGAGGTCTCTCCAAAAGGAGAAGCAAATTACATCTTCTCTAAATGGGGCAAATCTATAAACTAAATTCTTGTAAAAATCTAAAAAATGCAAATACGACTATACGCTATGAGCTAATAACCTAAAAAGAACACATTATATTTGAAACAAATGCAAATTAACTTTTGTTTTCAACAAAAGACAAAGGGCCCTTTGGTCTGGAGTAGGAAACCCACTTTGGAACATGAGCTGCAGGGCTGACTGACCATCTGAGATGTGGCTGCGAGTGTTTCCATCTCTTCATGTGTTAACCAGACATTTCCTGTGGTCTAAGGTGACCCCAGTGCACCAGCCACATCCAGGGCAAGGGAAGCATGACAGAAAGGAGAAGGACGCACATATGAGCCACAGGCACAGTAAGGAGCCACGAGGCAAAGGTCACTCTTTGCACATTTTCATTTCAGGCACCCACAGAGAAAGCCAGAGATCATTAACACAGGCTCATCCTCTTTTAAACAATAACAGTGTGGTCGGAATATAAGGAGAACAGCACACAATTTCCAGATCACATGCTTAAAAGTATGGATGAGAACATACTTTATATTTCTGAAAAGTTACTTTCCCCAGTAACTGATGATTCAATAGACAGTATTTTCAATAGTCTCACCATGTTGGAGGTATAGCTCATGATAGGGTTTTTGCCTGGCTCTCCCAAAGCACTAGGTTTAAGCCTCAGTACAGCAAAACAAAAGAATAAAACAAAACACACAGAAAGCAGTCTCACCCCAACACAGGCTAACAACAGGATGCTCTGGCCTTGGCTTCCTGTGGCTGCTTTCAGCAGATGATCCAAAGCCAGAGGAAGCCCAGGAGGCCAGGGCACAAGATAGTGAGCACAGGAGAGCCAAACAATGCAAACACCAAAAACAAAGCACTTGTCACCATCTGAGTCAAACCTGAGACTGATGGCCACTCTGCTAGCCCACTGTAAGCTCCCCAAGAACAGCAATTTCTGTGTTTGTAACTGGTGATATGGAGAGTCTTTCTGATGTGAGGTCTAGTCCTTGCCAATAGTTCAACTGAATCACAGAAGCTCCCTTTTGAAAGAGGGTTCTTAAAAGCTTTGCAAAAGCCATGCAGCATCTTCATTTCTACAAAGCCCACATTAATGTGGAAATAGCTGCAGAACAGACTGATACTGGTTACAAAACATTCCACCAAGGGAAAGTGTTCTTTGGCCATACGTTAAAAAAAAAAAAGGCTTATTGTTCATTTTCATAATTCTCTAACAACAAAATCTTCACACTTTTTTGTGTATAAAGTTACTGTAGGCAGACCTTGCTCTGCTGCTCAGAAGGATGTCTACACAGCAATAAGAGTTTGTTGAACATCTAAATGAAAAAAACCCTGAACTTTGCAACTTAAGAGCTGGCCTGCTCTTCCCTTCTAATAACCACCAATGTTTCATCAGAAGAGTCACCAGGAAGCTCTTTGAGGGCTCTTCACTACTCCCCAAGTGGACAGCATCTTTGTGAGCACAGGCATGGTTGGACAGACACATGCAGCTCCCAAGACCCAGAGCACCTGCTGGTGCCGTGACACACAACCACAGTGCATCTAGGAAACTCAGCATTTTTCCTCCTTTGGTTCTTGTAGGGAAAAAAAGACATCCACAAAGAAGAGAAGCTTAGAACTGTCCAGGAACCAGTGGATTTCTGGGAGGTGACCACCCCTTGTTAGCATGTCAACTGTATGTCAGTGGCACCTCTGGACTGCCACAAATTACAGTTACTCTGTAAGTCCCGCCTATATGTGCAGTGATGCAGATGCACTCACACGCACAAGACTGAAGGAAAGAAGCCACACACAACAAAGTAAGGGCAGCCCAACCTAGTTTATAGCCAAGGGGCCGTAGCCAGGAGCTTATTTATGCCCGGGGATTGTATGCAAGGGTTTATACATTCCTGGGCTTATCTGTATATTTTGCTACCTGTATACTTGAAGAAAAACAATATCTTCCGCATATAATTTGCTTAGCAAGTACCTTTATATACCGTACAAGTACTAATTATTGTTTGAACTATGAAATAGAAATCAAAGTTCAAGGATGAAATGCTACTTAAAATGTTAACTTTTCCTTCCTCAAGAGGTCCTTACACTTACTCAGTTTTGATAAATTCATACGTACATTTGTGACAATCAATTTTCTACCTTTCAAAAAGCCTTCTTTCTTAAAGAAGGCCTTTCTAACCAAGTTTTATTCATTTATTTAATTATTTATTTTTTGGTCTTTTCTGAAACGGGATCTCATTACTCAGTTCAAGCTGCTCACACTGTAACCCACTGGCCTAGAACTCACAGTGATCCTCCCACCTCAGCCTTCTGAGTGCTGGAACTACAGGCATGTGCCACCACGCCTGGCTTTAACCACACTTTTACACAAGCAGTTCACACATTTTCTTTGGATCACTCAACCCCTCCAAGTTAGGGGTTGTACTATGCTTTCCTGAAATTTTAAGTTGAAACCACCCTGTATGATTAGGAAGCAGCACGGAAACATTAGCAGGCTACTGCTTTTGTGGGCTCTGCCTTCCTCCTCCACAGAGGGCACACAGAGCCTCTGTGAACATACCTTTTTCAATGTGGGTGGAGCCGAAGGGCTGGTGAGCCACAGGGTTTCCTGGATGGCCAGCCGCAGCTTCAGTCTGTGCAGAGGGTGGCTGATGCCAATCTCTTGCTGGATCTGTCTGTCTGACAGAGCTGACATGATGGCCCCACTTTTCACATTTGCTCTGCAGGCAGCCACATAGCAAGCAGGCATCCCAACCCAGAGCTAGAAAGAAGAATGAAAAGACCAGAACATCAGGTAGAGACAGGAGATGCACGACAAGCTTGTGTCATGTAGCATAGGTCTCTGTAGTAAAGGGATGTACCTCCAGCCATTCAACCACGGTTGGCCCGTCCCACTGTGAAAATGGTAAGCCTTGCCTCTGGGCTTCCTCCAGCAACTCAGGCCTGTGAAAAAGAAGACATTCAAATTAAAGAAGCACTGTTACACATCCAACAAGTTAATGGAACAGTCTCTGAGCATTTTCAAAAGTATAACACATATTCTCAGTTCCTTTTATCTTCTACAGTTTTAATGTTATTAACATCATCCTTGTAATGACAGTCACACACATACTATGGAGAATGCCTGAGTAAATAAAAAATGCTACAGAGTTCTCTTGATTCCCAGTCAAATCACCATTACTTCAGAGAATTGAAGAATTACTACCAACTTATAAAACTCAAGCAGAATTTTCATATCCAAGGTAGTAAGACAATTAGGGGAAAACATGAAACCCTACTTCAACAATGAAGAAACAGTATCTAGGAAGAGGAAACCACACCTCAGTTGAGACATCAGTGCCTAATTTTGTGAGAGACTTTAAAAAACAGTGTTTTGGGGGGGTGGTTGTGGTTTGGGGAATGTTGAGACAAAGTCTTGCTATGTATGTAGTCCAGGTTGGCCTCAAACTCTGTGTAACCAGTCTCCCCCAGTGCTTGGATTATAGATGTGTTTCATACTCCCAGCTGTAATGCAGACTTTTAACCACAAAAAGATTATCGTCTAATACAGCAAACAAGTAACAGAGGACAGTTTCTATTGTACACTGCTCTTTAAGTAAACGGGTACTTGCTAAGTCACTGGGTCATTCTGTGGTTTTAACCCATTGATCTCTTCTTTAGCCAGCCATTCAACACCTCCTTCAATGCCGAATGTATCACCAGCACAGAAACTCATGCAATACCAAGGCAGTACTGCAGGGAAGTGGGTAGGTGAGTCTTGCATGCACTCCGTAATGTGATTTGAGGTTTCATATATGCTTTATTTCTAAAGACTCAAGTCACACTTTTACTATACTAACATCTCTAAAAGTGATTTGTGTAACACAGTTATGTGAAACAGTAACATTGTAAGCATGGTAAGTCTGACATTAGAACACAAAGGACAAGTATGTTTCAGATACACAAAAACCCTAGTCAGTCTCAGTCAATCAGTCTCTCTTCCCCTTTTCTTTCTTTTGGAAACTTATGTTCCTAAGTAAAATGTTTCATATACAATTTCAACTAAGAGTTCCTTAAGTTACCGCTAAGCTTACAGGAACAATCACCAGGGAGTAACTGTACCAGAGAAGGCAGCAAATGTGTTATCTCAGATGAAACAAGAAAAAAACAAGAAGAAGAAGAAGAACAACAACAACAACAACAATTTTCTAGTTGAAACAAGCAAAGCTATTCACAGAGAAACAGATCAGCAGAAGTGTGCTCCTAAGTACAAGAAGTAGTAGGCTACTGTCATGGTTTATGTCTGTGGCCCCCAGGCCTCATGCATTTTCATTGTGCATTTGTGATGGTTCATTGTCTAGTGCTTGGATTCATGGTGTCAGTGTTACACCCACATAAGAGTGGAGCCAGGATATGATGTAATGGTAGGAAGAAAGTGTATCTTGCTCTTTGCCTGTTCCTACTTGCTGTTTGCAGCCACCCTGAACTGTGACCCAGCCATGCCCACCTGCCTTGGAGCCAACTGAGTGTGGACTGAAACCTCCAAAAACTGTAAGAAATAACCTTTTCCTTTCCAAACTTGGGCTTCAGGTATTTTGTCTCAGCAATGAGTAAAAAGTAACTAAGACAGAATTTGGTACCGAAGAATGGGGTTGTTTGCTGTGACTATACCTTACCATGTTTTTCAAGAAATGGCTTTGGAAATGGCTTGTGGGCAGAGTTTGGAAAGGTTTGGATGTGTTGCCTGGATGCATAGAGCTAGAGCAGCTTAGGCAGTTCTGTAGAGGAGATAGTGGTCACAGCTCAGGAGACCAGAAGGCTGATAGGAAGCCTGATGGTAAAGACCAGGCCTGGGAGATTTCTGCTGGGAAGAAGGACTGCAGTGGTTGTTGGACTCCCCATGATGTGAGTTATGGGTTGGCAGAAAGTTGTCTACATTTTGCTCATGTGCAGAGACTTTGCCTGAGACTGAAACAAAGGGCAATGGACTGATTAATCTTGAAAAAGAAATTAAAAAGCAATCAAATGTTGAGTCTGTGGCATGGCTACTGTAGAGGGCTTTTAGCCAGCTTTATGTTGCAAATCAAGAGGAAAGAGCCCAGCGGGATAATTTGCAATACTGTGAGTTTGGCCAGAAAGAATATTTCAGGAAGGCTGTGGATTGTAAAGACAGTGGAGATTCTGATGGCTGAGGGAAAACAGAGAAATAAAAAAGATGGGCCGGGGGCATCCCAGGAAGCAGGTCCCCACCCTGTGCAGCCTCACTGCAAAGGTAAAAGAATTTTTTCAGAGGAGAAAGCTGCAGAGCACCAGGTTCCAGAATGGCGACAGAGACCACATGAGTTTCCAGAATGGTGACAGGCCACATGAGGCTCCAGAATGGTGGCAACATAGAGAAGCTTTTCCTCACAATCAGTTAAACAGAGCCCTGTGATCCAGGCAACTGACCCCTACAGCCAAGAGAGAGAAAAGCCTGAGTACTGCTCTAGCTAGCAGCAAACCTTGGCAACATCCACATGGTGCTGATCTTAGGTGCTAGGAAAATGCACAAATTCTGAGGATAAGATGGCTTCTACCTCTATTGCAAAGGGCCTGGGAGGCCAAGCTGTGTGACCCTGAGAGGGCAATTTGTGAAGACATAAAGGTGAAGCCAAAGGTGCAGTGGAGACCCCAAAAGTTTGGAAAAGCCAGAAACATGGACGATCCAAGGAAAGCTCCAAAAAGCAAGCAGAGAGGATTTAAGAGAAAAGCTGCAGGAGGTGAAATCCCTGGAAGTGCCTTGGGGGTGGAATCACACAAGCCTTTTGGAGCTTGTAACCATATTGCTTCAGATGCAGAGCAAGGAACTCCAGGACTTAATGTTCATCCTGCTGGATGTTGGATTTGCTTTGTTTCCAATGCTTTATATTCCCCTGTTTGTAACTTTTGGAATAGTAATGTTTATTTTGTGCCTTTGCATTTGAGAAATGTTTAAACTTGTTTCATTTGTACAGGGGTTACAGTTAAGAGTTTGCCATAGATCATGGAGGAGACATGGGACTTGGACTGTTCAGCAATGCTGAAACTTAAGACTTTGGAAACTCTTGGTGGTGGACTAAATGTCTTTTGTATAAAGGATGTACAAGAGTCCTGGGGGCCAGGGGAGGAATGTCATGGTTTATGTCTGTGGGCCCCCAGGCTTCATGTATTTGTATTGTGCATTTGTGATGGTTCATTGTTAGTGCTTGGATTGATGGTGTCAGTGCTATACCCACAGAGGGGTGGAGCCAGGATGTAATGTAATGGCAGGGAGAAGGTGTGTCTTGCTCTTTGCCTGTTCCTGCTTGCTGTTTGCAGCCACCATGAACTGTGGCCCAGCCATGCCCTGGAGCCAACTGAGTGTGTGAAACCTCCAAAAACTGTAAGAAATAAACCTTTCCTTTCCCAACTTGGCCTTTAGGTATTTTGTCTCAGCAATGAGTAAAAAGTAACTAAGACAGCTACCAAACCTGGCTACAGAGCTGCTATGACTCATTTAAGGAAACAAGAAACACACACACACACACACACACACACACACACACACACACACAGAGAGAGAGAAAGAGAGAGTGTGTGACAAACATACAGAGAGACAGACAGACAGACAGACAGACAGACAGACAGACAGACAGACAGACTGACCCCAAGAAGCAGTGTAAATCCATTTCTGGGTAAAGATCTGAAATTCTGTAATATTAAGTGAGGGTCTGTCCTAGATGCTCTGGCCAGGCCAGGGAAGAGGAAGACTACTGCTGTAGGTCAGAAGCACTTCTAGATTATGTGCCTATTCAAATAGACTAAGTAAGAACTATGTCCTCAGTAGTCTAAAAATGACCCTCCTGCCTGGACCTCCCAGGTAGCTCGGATGATTAAAGGTACATACCACTGCACAGCTGTAATTTGTGAAAGTACATACCAGACATGTACTGCAAACAAGAACAAGGCCCACTACCTGAAGCTTGGTATAAACTGCTGTTGCCTTTACATCCTTCCTCCTCCTTATACCTGCATCCAGATGCAGCAGTGGGAGTGGTGTGAAGGTAGCAGAAGTAGGATGATGCATTCAAAAGTCATGGGATGTTAGGAAATAACACAGAAGACCCTGGCTGGGGAGTTGGCCCAAGTTCCACCTACAGGTAGCTACACCTCCCCTACCAGGTAGTTTGAGGACTACGAGATTGGGCACCTAACCTTGGTTAACACGATAGGTGGGCACATTAGAGTCCAGTTTTCTTGAGAGTTGTTCCCAAAAGTGTACAGAAGGATCCTGTGTTAAGATGCAGAATCTGGAGCCTGCAGACACTTCTGCGCACCTCTACTCTGGCTCTTTGCAATGTTTGGTGATATGCACAACTACCTTCCTTTTACACTGGGTATTGAAACTGGATCTCTTTTGCTTGCTACTGCACATACTTAGTACAGACACCCATTTGTCCAAATCTGTGACCTCCAAGAACTAAATGGCTTCACAGTGTTTACTCACCTACCTGACTATCCACTTAGGTAAGGTTATCCGTCTACCCATATGATTAGTTTGGAATAGGAGAACCACCTATTTCCTCCCCCTCTACTAAAGCTGCAAACATTTAAGCTTTAGCAACATTCATTCTTTTCTTGCTCAACTTCCCAAATAATAACTCTTCCAGCTCTGAGCCCCAAAGCTTCAAGCAAGGTAATCAAGCTGGGTATGGTGGCATCATCTATAATCCAGCATGTGGGAGATGAAGGCAAGAGGATTACCATGAATTCAAGGCTAGTCTGGACTACATAAGGAGCCCCCAGGGGAAAAAAAGGAAAAATTTAAAAAGAGCAAATAAAAACATAGTAACCAGTGGGGGGGGGGGGCATACTCTGCAGAATGTCCATCATCTGTCCACACTGAATAGCCACCAAGGGCATCTGAATAATATGTCAGTAATCCTAGATGTTGATGTGTCATATCC